CAGGAGGTGATTAGATCACCGAGGCTGATACTCAGCAGATTAGTCCACTGATACGGGGGCGGGGTTTTTGAGGTAGGGTCTCACTATGTAGTTGAGACTGACATGGAACTCACTATGTAGCCCAGGCTGGTCTCAAACTCACAGCGATCCTCCTGCCTCAGCCTCCAGATTGCTGGGATTACAGGAGTGCGCCACCACACCTGGCAGTCCACTGATGTTTTTATGGCTAAAGGTGTACTGGGAGGTGAAACCTGGTTGGAGGAGGTAGGCGATTGGGTGCCCAGCCTGGAAGGGTCTATCTCCCTCCCCGTTCATCTCTCTCTGCCTCCTCATTGCCACCCTGAGCAAGATTCCTCAGCCATACCCATCTGCCATGCTTTCTTGCCTTGGCACCAGCCAAGTATGGACTGAAACCCCTACAAACTGTGAGCCAAAATATACCTTTCTTTCTTTAAATTGTGGGTGTCAGGTATTGTATCTCAGCGATGAGAAAGTAACTACGACATTCATTTGAAAGAAGTTTAAATTCTCTGGATTGAGAAATTAAAATCAATAAGAAATTTTTAAATCATTTTGAAAGAAAATTACATAGAACATAAAACACTACACCTCACACAATATATCCATCCCCAAAGTAAACTGCAAGATACAAATACAAGAAAATTTAAAAGCCTGAAATATAAATGAACTTTGCGTATAATTCAAAAAGATAACAGTAAATCTAAAGTATGAGATATATAATAAATATTATTGTAAAAGCTAAGAAAGCAGAAATTTTAAAAAGGACACCATAGATTTAATATCAAATAAAATGAAAACAAGCTTCTTTGAAAGATACATTTAACAGCTTTAAGGAAAAAAAACAGGAAAAATATAGACAAGTAGCCAGGCACAGTGGCGTATGCCTATAATCTCAGCCCCTGGGAAACTGAAACAAGAGAGCTACAAATTAAGAGTCGCGCTCAGGCAATTATTGAAATCCTATCTCAAAATGAAAAGGGAGTGCAATTCAGTGTGAAGGCCCTAGGTTTAATTTCTAAAACCACAAAGAGAAAAAAGAAAAGGGAAGAAAAAAAAAAGGAGGGCTTGGGAAATAGCCCCATAGAGTACAAGTTTACGAGTGAGGTTTAGGTTCAATCCTGAGATGATGAAAAATTTCAAAAATCACAATGTGGTGATGATTGTAGTAATCTATAGTTGGGGGCACCTCAGCACACAATGTGTAAGCTAATCACTAATAGGGAAGAAATGCTGGCTGACTATAGCTCATCAAATCTCATTGCTCATTTGCTTTTCTTTATTAGACAGGGCTTCTCATTATAGTCCAGGCTGGTCTCAAACTCATCCTCCTGTCCTAGAGTCCCAAATATGCAGGTTATAGGTATGTCAATCACACACAGTTTGAGGTTTGTTGCTGTTGTTTTGGTTTTGTTTGGTTTGTGAAACAAGGTCCTGCTATGTACTCTTCAGGCTGGCCTCAAACTTGCTATGTAGCCCTAGGCTGGCCTCAAACTCAGTGATCCTCCTGCCTCAGCCTCCCCAGTGCTGAAATGATAGGCATGCACCACCACGCCCAGCTCGTTTTTTTGTATAGCTTAATATCCAGTCCTTCTTCCTCTCCTGCAGGTCAGTAGATGGGACCCCTCGAATCAGCTTTCTGGTGATTTAATCAGTTTGTCTGTCTTAGGGTCTCATGCGTCACCTTATTATCACAAACTCAGGTGAATGCCAAATATGAACAACAACCACAGATGTGAAGGGAGAGGGGACTATATACAAGTTACTTAAAATTAACATAGCAGGCCTGGTGTGGTGCCACACGCCTGTAAACCCAGCACTGAGGCAAGAGGATCACTGTGAGTTGCAGCTCACAGCTGTGAGTTCTCAACTACATAGTGAGACACTGTCTCAAAAAACAAACAAACAAACAAACAAATAAAATAGCAGACATCCAGACATCCGGTCTATTAAAAAATGTCCACACTCACAACTACTTTGGAGTTTTTTTGTTTTGTTTCATTTTTTTGGTACCAGAAATCGCAGTCAGGTCCTTGCACTACGAGTCAGGCAGCAGAAGTACTGAGCTAAATCCCCAGGCCAACAGATAAGTTTTATCAAGTGCTTTTACTGCAAGCTGTAGACTATACACTGCAGTGACTGATAGGAAGGCAAAGAATTGCCTGTAAATATGGAAAGTCTGTACTGACGGATGTTCAGTTCATTCCCCCCACCACACTGCAGGAACACTTTGTCTCCATTTGTACACTAATTTTATCATTCCTTTACTTCATATCAATTGGTACTTTCTTTACTTTTACTTTGAAACATTATATTGTGTTTCTTGCTTGGATCCTGCTGTAACACGTTGAATTTTATATCTGGGTGACAGCCATTATTTTACCTTTTTTAAAATTATCTTTTCTCAGGAAATAATAAAGAAACATAAGATTTCTTGTACTTATTTTTATAAACTACAATTCATATAAGGTGAAGACCAGTTAGTGAACCACTAGAATAATCCAAGCCGGATTAGACTAGAAACAGAAGCAAAGCACTGAGAATTAATATAGAAGGGCAGATGGGAACTTTTTCAGTGACTGAATATGGAGGGAGAAAATAAATCTTATAGGAGTAGGCAAAGACTTCATGCACAAAACCTAGACCACATGAGAAATACTACAAAGAATCAACAACTGGAACCTCATCTTATTAGAAAGCTTTTGTACAAGAGAAACCAACAGAGTGAAGAGACAACCCACAGAGTGGGAAAAATACCTACCAGCTATTCAGATAAAGGACTAATACCTACAATATACAAAACACTCAAAAAATCAGGACCCACCCCTAAATTTAAAGACCCAATGCAAAAATGGGCATTTGAAATGCAAAGAAACTTTTCAGATAAGTATTAGAAACGGTAAATAAATATATGAAAAACAGTTCATCACTGGTCATTCACGATACACAAGTTAAAATAACACTGAGATTCCATCTCACTCCAGAAAGGATGGCTGCTATCAAGAAATCAACCAGTAACAAATGCTGGAGGGCCTGTGGCAAAAAAGGAATCCTTCTCCACCGTTGTTGGGGAGTGGAGACTGGTGCAGCCACTGTGAAAATCAGGGTAGAGATTTCTCTAAGAACTAAAACTAGACGTTCCATTTGACCCAGCTATATACCTCTTCTTGGTATCTTCCCAAAAGAATTAAAAGCATCACACCAATATATGATACTGCAGCAATATATGCACATCCATGTTTGTAGCAGCAGTTTGTAATAGCTAAATCTTGAAGAGCCCAAATGCCCATCAACTGACAAGTCAATAAAGATGTGTTTTTTTTATACAATGGAGTACTACTCTGCCATAAAGAAGGATGAGCTTCAAACATTTATAGCTAATTGAATGCACCTTGAGACCATACTCTTAAGTGAAATAAACTGGACACACATGTTTAAGTACCGCACTGCTTCTCTGGTATGAGAAATACAAAGTGGAAATAAGGACTGAAATGTATGATGGATGTTGGGAAATGAGAGGAAAGCATTCAAATAGGAAGGGGACAAGGAAGGACAGAGGGAGGAAGGGACAAGAAAAAAAGTGAAAATGGAAAAAATGGAGACAAAGCTTCTGTAAATAGGGAGGGGAGGGGACTTGAGCGGGAGAATGGGATAAAATAAATTTATAAAAATAGAAAAAAAGAGAATAAGTTCTTAAAGTTTTCAAACACCACTCAGAGACAGAGTATAAGAGGAGAACATGGCAGGGTGAAAGATACCATCCCATTTAGATCTTACAGTAAAAGAGGTATATGCAAGTATACAGACACACTTACTGCTAGAACATATAAAAGCAAGGTCTGTGTTCTCAAACTTTTAACCCATTGTGATTTTTCAAAGAACAACGTAAAATAGTTTTTAAAATCCTTTTCTTCTACTCTTTTTTCTTTTTTGTGGTTCCAGGGCCCCAGGCACACTGGATAACTGCTCTCCCACTGAGCCACATCCCCAATACTTTTTTCCTTCCACTTCTATATCATACCTTCATACATGTATCTGTCTTACTTGAAAATATTTCCTGTTAAACTTTCACTAAAATGAAACACAATGTCTTTTTATTGAGCATTTGTTTAATGTTTTAAAATTCAAGGCACTTTTAAGATTTTTTTAAAAGATTAATAAAAATAACTTTACCTCTTAAATATAATTTTGTTACAGTAAAGTGGAAGAGAGGTTAACAGCCTAGCTTTAAAACAATCAGCATTCACAATAAAACTAAAAGAAGACTCATGTACAGGTAATTCACAAAGGAGACAATTACATTTAAAGATATGAATAATTTTATCCAGTAAGTGATCTCAGTATTTCCAATATGCCATTTAAACTACTCTTGAAAATATTTTGGCAAAATAAAAGCCAGCAAAGCAACTGCTTCTGAAAGCCTGATCAAACCTTATCAACTGGTTTTTAATTTTTTAAACAATACAAACAATAAATCTTTTGGGGTCTTCAACATTTTAGAAATTGTCAAAAAAAGAAATAAAATTACCTATAATTACTCACTTTCAGCAATATGACCCAACATGGAACATCAATACTTTAGCAATAATCAGAGGAAAAGCAAATTTCTCAACAGTAATGGTCACCAAATTCCTTCAGCTTGCTTCACCTTTTTAAAACCTATACATACATAATTAAACACTTAATTCATACATGTACCAATTTCTCTCAATGAACATAAGTATCTAATGAAAACATGTAATAATTAAAACTTGAAAGAAAAAATTAAAATACTGCAGAAAATAAAGAAATTAAAGCTCGAACATCTGCATTCATTTGAATAAGCTAAATAAACTGCTAAATCAAATAAACAAATATTGTAGGAAAAAAATTTTAATTAAAGGGAAATAAGCAAGTGATTGATAGGATTGTGGTGATGTGGTCCCACTCCTCCCCTCCCTGCCCCAGATTTTAAGAAGAAACAAGACAGAAAACTGACTGTGGCCAAGAAAAAGTTGAAAGAATTTCAAAAGAAAAATAGTGTTGGTGGACCTGCAGGAGTAAAAAGGAAAAAGATTAGAAATGGCAGTAACCCTGTGACAACCACTGCTGGTGCTTTTCACCCACCTGAGGATGCACCCAAAGACCTAGCTGTATTTTCTGCACCACCTTCTACTAATGACATGTCACTTAGCAGTGTCCTTTCCCCAGGTGCTGCTCCTTATATGTCACTTTAGAACTATGATGCTGACGATGGCCAGTCTCATAGATGAAACCAAGACTTTCTCATCAACCAAGAGCCTGCGACAACTTTCTCACAAGTTCTGCATCTCAGCCTACATCCTATATCAAAAGGTGAGAGCCCCATAATCTGCAAAGATGAAGGACCACGAAAGCTGGTACCAAGAGCTAACAGTAGCCCTGCACTCTAGCTATCTGAAAAAAAACTTAGTAGCAAAATAGAAGTATTGACACAGCAGAGCCAAGATGCTCCAAAAAAGTTGGAAAAAAGCAGCGTCAGTGGCACTTGACAAAGGAGCAGGTGGATCTACAAAGAAAAGCTAGAGGTTCCCATCCAGACCATATTTTGATGTCTCAGAAGGAAGAATTACAGACAGCCATGGCTGATGTTCATCAAGCAGCCTGGTAAAAGCAGAAGAGTCTGGGGAACATGCTATCCACCTGAAATCTTTTTGATAGTGTAGGAGATGCTGATACAGACTACATCTGATGACTTGGATGGAACAGTAGGCAGATGGACAAGTACATCGAGGAATCAACTGAAGTGTCTGATGCCCTCAGGGTGGAGCTGTCCAAGAACAACAAAAGCAACAAGCACCTGAGGCTGCAAAACCCAGAATTTTAAGAAAGGCTTTGCAACCTCATGGCAGAGAATGTAGCCACGTACTTGGGAATGGAGGAACTACAAAAGAAGCTGCAGGTATCCCAACTCCTACTCCCAATAGTTCTCCAGCAGGTATGAATCTTCTCTCAGTGACCAACAATTATAGCAGCCAGAAGAAATGGGTACAGCTGGAGACACACGTGGACCACTGAAGGGGTCACTCAACTTCAGCTGGATACAGCTAGGTTGCAGAGTGAAATACTGCTATATTGCGATAGAGGAGGCAGCAAATGTCAGAACAGCCCCAGGCTTATCATGAGACAAACAGGAGACAGCAGGAACACAGCCTGACCTAGCAAGGTCAGAAGCAAGGAAACTGTGACAATACTGCACCAAGAAGAGCCTGGAGACAGGATGACAGGATGTGACACTTCTTGGACAGGATCCAGAAACAGAAAAGCAGTAAGAAGGAAAAGCTAAGAAATAAATGGCGTACTTTATTGAATGATGTGTAGATACTATTTCAATAACAGACATATCTTACTAACATAAGACATTAATACCATAATACAGGAAATTAGATGCTGAATTAAAAGAAACAGTGAAATAAGCTACAAAACTTCATTTTTTTTTTTTACAAAAACAAAATTTCAGCAAGAAACTAGCTTAACGTGATATTCAACTGTCTAAACATGAAAACAAGGCGCGAACTTAAGAACTTGCTTACATTTGGGAATCCCATTTTTTATTAGAAACAATTTTCTGTTAGACAGACATTTCCCACTGTTTTCATCAGTCATGGTTTCATTTTCTACCAGAATACTTCCATGTGCTTGTATATGATCATGCCACAATTTCAGAATTCTTCTAGAATGTAGTAAGTTTATGCAAATTATAGTAGGAAGGAAATGATTTGGATTACTCAACATCATACTTAGTAGTACTACCCCATGAGGTTTCAAAAACTAAGAAAAGCCACACAGATAGTCCTTGAAGATTAATAAACTAACAATGACACATTTTTTGAAATCTGAACCCCCAAAAAGTTTCAAAAATAAAATTGTGAAATTTAAATACTTCCTTCTTTTAAATTGTTCTCTAATACTGTTTAGTAAGTTATTTATTCAACCGCTTCCTTAGGCTTTCCAAGTGTTGCATATTAACATCTTGTAATGCAAGGACCAGTGCTTTACACAAGGAAGGATTAAATGAAACAGTCATTAAACAGCACAAATCTATTAGATCTCTCTGACACTTTTGCAAACCTTCTAGGAACTTTTGATATTTAGGAGGATCCTTTTTTAACTGTTTCATTTCTAGTACTGAAAACCCTATTAAACTGGTAAGTATTTCATCTACAAAGTCTACATCTAGATATGCAGTGCCATCAGAAATCTTTGCAGTTATACTCCAAATGCCACCAGAACTTGAAAGATTTCCAGTTAAAGTTACAATAAATGCTTTGACTTTCACTGTTGTAACTTCTTTCAGTTTGCTGGCCATTAAAACAGAGAGATAGGTGAAGGGTGGAGAATACAAATTTGTGCCAATAGAAAGATCAGTGCTGCTCTCTGATCTTAATGCCTGTAAGTGGTGACCATGTTCGTTAGAAACTTGTAAACTCTTGACTAGCTCTCTATTCAATATTTTATCTTCTAAGGAATGTCCACCCAAACTGCTGATGGTTTGTTTTACTTTATTATCTGCCTCTGAGTTATTTTTATTTATAAAATTATGTGCTAATGGTACATTACAATGACCTGAAAAAACACTACTATTCTGATCTTTAGCAGATGAGCAAGGAAAAGACCTGTCTTCATGGGTCATCTGTTCTGGTAAGGTTTTTTCATTCCAATTACTATTTCCTTGTTTGCAAATCAAAGAAAAATCATTCAGAGTATTAGGTTTATGTGAAAATCTCTCCACACTTTTATCTGTGTTTTTGTTCAAAGTCAATGGCTGTGATTCTTCAGTTTTCATCTGCTCTTTTTGGACAGTTTCTTCCAAAAGCAAGGCCTCCTCCAATGAAAAGTCATCCAGTTCTCCATCAGTGAAATGTAGAAATTGATTTGATGGTTTCTCCTTTGGTCTTGGAGAACTGAACCCTGGCTCAAAATCTGACTGTCTCAAAGGAACAGTATTCAAGGAACTACCAGTGTTGACATGTCTTTCCAATGTGACATTATTTGCTTCAAGCTCATCATTTTCATCAAGACTTGCCAAGAGTTCTTCATCAGAAGGTCCTAACACAGGATCTAGAACATCTGTAACTCTAGGGATATTCTGGTTAGAATTATTTGGTATGACTGAAGCTGTAGGATCAGATTCCCCAATTAATCTTGCAAGGACTTTTTCTTGTGCATATTCTTCTAAAAGAGCATCTACTTCACCTCCTAACACTTTCACATTTTCTGCTTTCAATAAAAGAACACCAAGACGGAATGAAATGTTTCCATAAATCAAAATTTTTGTGCCTGGAGGAAGATCACTATGAAGAGCTGGAATAGACTGATATTCCATTCCCTGCATTTGCACAACTCCATCAGTTAGCTGTAGCATCAACATTCGTGAAGGCTTTGCTTCCCAAGGTTTGGGGATAACCTGTGTTTCCGCTGTAACTAGATCATTTGTAGTATTCTTTCCTCTCAACTTTTGTATCTGAGAATATGCAGGTTGACTTACATCAACCAAGGAATTAATCTGTACAGCATAAAATCCATTCAGTTCTCCTTTTGGAATTTCTAAAATGTCATCAGGTAAAAGAGGATGTTCCAAATCTCTCAGATCTGTAAGTAACCATTGCTCAAACACTTGTTTATTCATTTGTGCCTGACTCAAATTAACATTATTATTTTCTTCTAGGATCCAGTTAATGCAAGCTTCTAGCCACATTTGAGGTACTTTAACATGCCATGTAGCTAAAAGCCAAGTTTCAACTCTTAATGCAATGCTAGTTACACTCATTTTTTAAAATAAAATAAATATGCATCTGTTACCTGAAAACAAAAACAAAAAAATGATAATTCAATACATTTAAATACAACTTTCTAAGAAAAATATAGCTTCTATAATTCTCTGTAACTTCATAACCACACTTCATAACCACCATATCCTTTTAATTTTTCTCTCTCCAGTACCTTAAAAATCTTTCCACTTAGCCAAAATCAAAATCAGGAATAATCAGATAGTATAATGAAAAAAGCAAATGTTCGAAACAGACATACCTAAGTTTGAAAGCTGGCTCTGTCAAAATACAAATTATATGACCTAATAAACATCTCATCTCTAACACACTTTCTTCACTCATAAACTGTCAATACCACCATCTAACAGAGTTAAAAGAATTACCTGGATAATATTTTCAAAACATAACAGACCTATAAAAGACACTCAATAAAAGTAATTATATTAAAATATCAGATTTAAACCATTTAAAATTTAGTTTAAGGAATATCCATCCAAACTGCTGATGGTTTAGCTCAGTGGTTCCGCCGCCTGCCTCACAAGTGCAAGGACCTGAGTTCGATTCCCGGTACCATAAATAAATAAATAATAAATAAAATTTAGTTAAAAGACAGTGTTCACTGAGGTTGGTTTTTTGTTTGTTTGTTTGTTTTGGGGGGGTTTTTTAGAGACAGGGTCTCACTATGTAGTTCAGACTGACCTGGAGCTCACTATGTAGTCCAGGCTGGTCTCGAATTCACAGCGATCCTCCTGCCTCAGCCTCCTGAGTGCTGGGATTACAGGCGTGCACCACCACGCATGACTTCACTGAAGTTGCTTTTACATCTGTAATTAACACTAATTTAACTCTATTCTAATCTATACCCCTGTATTTGGCCAGTTATCACTTAAATATGTGATCTAAGGACAAAATTATAACAAGTAATAGTAGATTTTGAGCTGATATAAAGTTATCTATTTGTTTTGCTGAATATTCTCAAGAGTCCTGCCCCGTAAATACATTCTGATTTTCTCTGTATAATAAGGTAGTAGCAAAACACTAAAGAATAATCAATTATAGAACCAGGATTTAGCTCAGTGGTTCTGCTGCCTGCTTCAAAAACTCAAAGATTCAAGTTCAATCCCCAGTACCAAAAAAAAAAATAGAATAATCAATTACATGTTCACAACCTATTGATGAAGATAGTCAAGAGACAAAATTTATCTAAATTTTAATAAGTCCATAAGAAAACTTACCACCTCAAAGAGCAATACAGGATTTGATGACAGGATCTAGAACTGACTGTTCAGTGAAGTATTCAAAAATCTCTACTGCTCAAAAATGGCCTTGAGAGAGAAAACACGAAACAGTAAAGATTATAAGATAAAGCTGTAGAAAGAACTTCTGTCCTGTTTTCATTAGTACAAGATTTTTTATGGTATGGTCCTTAGTGATTCTATTATTAGTCAGGGTAGAATGAAGGCAACACAGAATAAAAACGAGATCTTAAGTAAAATAAACAGAAAAATAAGTGACTATGAGAAAGTTCATTTTTCCAATCCTATTTCCTTATTTCTATACTTACTTCATAGGGCAACTGTGAAATTAAAGACAGGAGGGGAAGTATTTGAGGTGGCAGCTCAGAGTATAACTCTGGTGCCAGACAATTTTTCACTTACAAACTCTATGACTTTTAAATTATTCAACCTCAAGATATCCTAAATCATATTTCATAAAGTTAGAAAAAAGCCTCACTGGCTTGTTGAGAAGATTAAATTAATATACAGAAAAAGCAGCACTGACACAGTGAGCTCAGTAAATGTAAACTACATTACTAAGGTACCTATTACAGCTCCTGGCAAAAAGCAGTCACACAAAAACTATAGTTGTTATTTTAGAATGAATGACTAGTTCCCACTGGATAAAGCCCTAGACTGCCCTCAACGTCATGAACTAACACTTTTTTTCTTTTAAGGACTGTAGCTTGCCCTAGGTTCCATCCCTAGTATTACTGAAAACACACAAACACACACGCATACACACACACAGTATTGCAAAATGCAACGCATAAATATAAAGAAAAAAATCTTAAGGCCCAGCAAAATGGATTTAAAATTAATTAGTAAAAGAGTAAAAAACAGCCAGGTGTAATGGTGAACATCTGTAATCCTAGCACTCAGAAGGCTGAGGCAGGAGGATTGCCATGAGTTTGAGGCCAGCCTAGGCTACATGGCGAGTTCAAGGACAGCCTGAACTGCCTAGCAAGTTTTTTTAAGAAGTGAAAAACAGCCAGGTCCAAACACCCTGGAAGGCTGAGGTAGGAAAATTACAAGTGTGGGCCCAACCTGAGCTACAACTTAGTGAGGCCCTGTCGATCAGTTATGATTTCCAGTCCCAATCTTCTAGGAATATTTCTCTGATATATTGTGCTTGTTATTTTCTTTGTAAACTATGAAACTACTTATGCCTGACATATTTAGGATTGAATAAAACACAACCATTGGTCAATGCTTTGTTTTGTTTTGTTTTGTTTTGGTTTTGGAGATTAAAAACTCCACTGAAAGTATATGCAGCAGAATGAGCCAATGTGAGGACAGAATATCAGCTGTAGAAGACAGGAGATTGTGGTTAGTGATCATGCAAAAGAGATTTCTTAAAAATAGAAAAGAACCATGAGAAATCAATCCAGCAGCTCCTAGATGATGCGAAGAATAATGATGTAAGATTTAAGTCAATAAAAAGCAGGACACAGCATAAATGACATAAAAAAATCTGTTCTCAGAAGTAATGGCATAAAACTTCCTAAACAGTGATAAACAATTTCACATACAGATAAGTAAGGCGTACAGGACTACAATTAGCCATGATCAAAAAAGTCTTCCCCAAGGCATATAATAGTCAAGATTCCAGAAATTCAACAAAAGGACAGAATATTAAAAGCTGTTAGATAAAGGAAACAAATCACCTATAAAGGAAAGTCCATCAGAATCAAGAGCTGATTTCTCAACACTAACCCTCAAGTCAAAGAGAACTTGGAACAAAGTAGTGCTAAGGGAAAACAACCTCTAAGCCAGATTGATGTACCCTGAAAAACTATCCTTCAAAACTGATGGAGAAATAAGATACTTAAATGACAAAGAACATCTGAAGAAATTCACCAAACCAGAACTCCAAAGTGTTTTGAAGGATATTTGGGAATGGGGGTGTTTTACCAGGGATCAAACTCGGGACTGTGTGCTTGCAAGGCAGGTGGTGGTAACATTGAGCTAAATAAATCCCGGGCCTTAAAGGCTATTTTTTGTTTTGTTTTGTTTTGTTTTTTTAAGACAAGGTCTCACTATGTGGTTGAGACAGCCCTGGCACTATGTAGCCCAGGCTGGTGTCAAACTCACAGCGATCCTCCTGCCTCAGCCTCCTGTGTGCTGGGATTACAGGCATGCACCACCATGCCCAGCTCTTGAAGGATATTTTAGGAGGAGAAAATAAGGATCACCACTCCATGAATTCATCAGGCAAGGTAAGAAATTAAACAGAAAACAAAAGAAGGAAGCCAATAGCAGGAAAATAACATGACAGGGATAAATCAATATATCAGTTATAACCATCAATGTTAATGGTCTCAACTCACCAATCAAAAGAAAGAGACTGGCAGAATGGATCAAGAAGATGCTGCATACAACAAACACATTTAACTCAAAAAGAAATTCATAGACTGAAGTCAAAGGATGGAAAACAATATTCCATGTGACAGCAACCGAGAAAAAAGCAGGAGTAGCTATTCTATTTGTAGAAAAAGCGAATTTCAAGCCAAGACTGATTAAGAGCAACAAAAGTCACTACATCCTGGTAAAGGGAACAATACAAGAGGAAGAAATAAAAATCATAAATATATATATACCAAATAGCAACACACCCAACTATATAAACAAATATTAACACACATGAAAAAAAAATCACATAAGCACTAATACAGTTGTAATGGGGGACCTCAATAACCCACTGTCACAAACAGACATATCAACTAGTCAAAAAATCCACAATGATATATTAGAATTGAACCAAACTTTGAAAGAATGGATTTGGCAGATGTCCACAGAGTGTTCCACCGCCAACATCACATTTGTCTCAGCTGTACATGGGACTTTCTCCAAAATAGACCATACACTAGCTTACAGAACATGCTTTAATAAATACAAAGGAATTGAAATTATTCCATGCATATTATCAGTAAAATTGGAAATCAACGGCAAAAAAACCCACAAGAACTTCATAAACACATGGTAATTAAATAACACTCTCCTGAACAACCAATGGGTCACAGATGAAATTACAGAAGAAATCAGACAATTTCTATAATTAAACGATAATGACAATACAATATAAGGGAACTTATGCGACATAACAAAAGCATTCCTATGAGGGAAATGTATAGTGGTGAATTCCCACATCAGGAAAACAAGCAGGCTCAAATAACCCAATGTTGAACCTCAAGCTGCTAGAAAAAGAAGAACAAGTCCAGCTCAAAGGTCATACAAGGGAGGAAATTATAAAGATCAGAGCAGAAATTAATGCAATGGAGACTAAAAAAACAATGCAAAGAATCAATGAATCAAAGAATTGGTTCTTTGAAAGATTAAATACAACTGACAAACCCTTAGCCAAACTTATCAAAAAAAAAAAAAATCTCAAATCCATGCATTTTAGAAATGAAAACGGTGATATCATAAGAGAACCTGCAGAAATCCAGAAGATTGTCAATACCTATTTTGAGAACCTGTATTATAAGATGGAAAATACAGAAGAAATGGACAGATCCCTAGGCACATATGAATTTACCAAAACAGAATCAAGAAGATATAGAAATTCTAAATAAACCAATATCAGCCAATGAAATTGAGTAAGTAATTGAAAACCTACCAACAGGGCTGAGTTTTAGCTCAGTGGTGCCACCACCTGCCTCAAAAGGGCAAGGACCCACATTCAATGCCCAGTACCAAAAAAAAAAAACTACCAACAAAGAAAAGCCCTTTTGGATTCATTGCTGAATTCTACAAGATATTTAGAGAAGACCTAATGATGCTACTCCTCAAACTCTTTAATGAAAATGAAAGGGAAGCAATACTCCCAAAGTCATTCCTAGAAACAAGCATTACCTGATTCAAAACCAGAGAAGGACTCAAACAAAAGAGAGAATTACAGGCCAATCTCCCTAATGAACATAGATGCAAAAATTCTCAATAAGATACTGGTAAACAGAATATAACAAATCATCGAGAAGGTTATAAACCATGAACAATATGGATTCATTCTAGGGATGTGGAGATGGTTCAAAATATGCAAACCAATAAATGTAATACACTATATTAACAAAGCCAAGGACAAAACCTATATGAACTTCTCGATAGGTGCAGAAAAAGTATTTGACAAGGTCCAACACACATTCATGATAAAAAAAAACCCTACAGAAAATTGGAATAGATGGTCATTATTTCAATCTGATAAAAGCCAACTATGACAAAACAACGGCCCACAACATACTAAATGGACAAAAACTGAAAGCTTTCACTCTAAAATCAGAAACAAGACAAGGATGCCCACTGTAACCACTCTTGTTCAATACAGTTCTGAAAACACTAACCAGAACAATTAGACAAGATGAAGTAAAAGGAATAAGAATAGGAAAAGAAGTTTAATTATCATTATTTGCAGACATGACACTCTATATAGAAGATCCCAAAAACTCCACCAAAAGACTTTAAAGATTTCATAACCAAATTCAGTGGTGTATCTGAATACAAAGTCAACACTCAAAAATCAATAGCCTCCCTGCACACAAATAGCCAACTCTGAAAGAGAGAAAGTAAAGACACAATCTCTTTCACAATAGTATCCAAAAAAATGAAATATCTAGAAATCAATCTAATGAATCAATCTAATGAAGGAAGTAAAAGACCTCCACATTTCGGTACTCTGAAAAAGGAGAACGAAGATGTCAGAAAACAGAAAGATATCCCTTGTTCTTAAATAGAAAGAACCAATACTATGAAAATGGCCATATTTCCAAAGTTGTTATAGAGATTCAATGCATTCCCAACAGCATATCTCACAGGATTAGAAAAAAAACAATCCTAAAATTCATTTGGAACCAGAAGAGCTAGAATAGCAAAGGCAATTCTGGGCAGGGAAAGGCAAGGGGTGTCACAATTCCTAGCTTGCAATTATACTACAAAGCTACTATAACAAAAACAGCATGGTACTGGCAAAAGAACAGATCTAAGGATCAAGGGAGCTGAGTAGAGGATGTCAAACAACTCCAGACATACTCAGCCACCTTATCTAGGG